TGGACTGCGTGCGCAGCACCTTGCGATTGATCATGTCATAGACACGACCGGGTGTGCCAACTACCACGTGGCAACCGGACTCCAAAATGCGAGCATCCTCGCGCACATTGGTGCCGCCAATGCAGGCATGCGAATGCACCTTCATGTACTCACCAAGTGCCATAACCACACGCTGAATTTGGGTGGCCAATTCGCGAGTTGGTGCCAGGATCAAAGCCTGACATTCGCGCATGGACGTGTCGATTTGCTGAAGGATGGCAATCGAGAAGGTGGCAGTCTTGCCAGTACCTACAAAATGACCAACCAAAAGTTTTCCAAGTTAATATCTAGCGGAGCAAGTTATGTTAGATAAACTGCAGTCGCAGATTGATTACAATCTATCTTAACAATCAAGGTCTTTTAGGCCAGGTTTTATATTAAAAGTTGACCAATATTTGACAAATTATGGTATAGCTATGGGGTGGTATGCATATTTGGAACTGTTTCGTGCATTTTGCCAAGGTTTTTTTTATATTTGTTTTCAAAGTTGCGCCCAAAATAATGAAAAGGTTTAAACGATGAATTTTTAAGAAATTTTCCATTATGATGGTAAAATAATTGCAATTAGCAGAATTTTTATATTTTTCAGTTAATATGCAATTTTCATGTATTCTAATAATTTTGCTTTCAGCATTTAATTTTCATAATTTGATGTATTAAATAATTAGGAAGATTCGCTCCAGGGATAGTTTTTTGTGTAGGAAGAGTTTTTTTATAACTGAACAAAAACAATTTATCAACAAATCAGCGCCTAGGCTAATATTTTCTTTAGATGCACACACACACATACACACACATATTTCTACATCTACAATTTTTTTTTTTTTTTGCAAAGTTGGGCAACGCTGTTCTAGTTGAGCGTTTGCACAGATCATAAAAACGCGCTAAAGGCGATCGCAAAAGTGGCGCGCAAGCGCTTCGCTGCTCACCAACAAAGCGGACAAGTAGGAGAGCGAGAGAGAGAGAAAGTATGCGTGTGCCAGTAACAAAAATTGAGAGAGCACAAGCTGCAGCAGCAACAGACAGCTGAGTCACCGTTATCGTCATCATCCGCTCTCGCTGCTGCTGCGCTGCTGCTAGCTAGGCAGCCCCCATAACAAAAAAAAAAATTTGCACTTTCTCGCTAAAGCGAAATTTGTTTTCTTTTTGCTGCCTTGTTTGTTTAACGTATGTATAAATTACTCACCGGACTGGGCCTGGGCAATGACATCGCGACCCTTGACGCAAGGAATGATAGCGCGCTGTTGAATGGCCGATGGCTTCTCGAAACCGTAGCCATAGATGCCGCGCAGCAGCTCCTCGCGCAAGTTCATGTCATCGAAATTATCGTAGACCTCATGCCAGGTCGACTCGATGACGCCCTCAGGGTCCATGCCAGCGGGACCATCTTGAGCTATTTCACTTCGATCATCCCTATGGAACAAAAATACACAAAAAGATGTCAGTAATGCACATTCAAATGAAAATTTTCATTTCTACGTTATTTTTTTTTTCTCATAATTTTTTTTGGTTATGGCGAATCTGCGCTTGGCAACCAAAGGCAGCAAAACGACGACATTAGAGGTCGGTGGCGACAACGACGTTCAGCAGCAGAGGCAGGCGGGTGGGCCCAGCGGCAACAGCGAAAACGACACTTACATTATCAACAATAAAAAATTGACTAGTTAAATTTGTATACTGAATTTCGACGGCTTGAGCACCGTTCAGTTAAACAATTTCTGGATTAGTTGTATGTCAAAAATTTGTAACGAAAATTTTTTTTTTCTTTTCACAGAGTGCACACAAACGTGTTTTGTTGTGCGTGCTGTTCTGCGGTATTTTCACGTATGCGAGCGAATGCCAGTGTGAGTTTTAACGACCGCTAGGCGGCCTTTTGAGCGTCTCGTCGTCACCGTCGCCCAACGAGTGTATATGTGTGTGTGTGTGCGAAAGAGTGCACTAGATATGTCAATGTCAGTGGTTGCTTCGGTCGTGTGCATGTGTCTGAGCAGTAAGAAGCTATCTACTTTTAACTGCAGTGTTGCATGTGCGTAGTAGTTGGGAAATAGTAGTAGATTAAAGCAAAAAAAAAAAAAGGTACTAAACGAAGCAGGCAAGAAAATGTTTAAGCCAACAGGCAAATTTAAGGCGTGTGTTTCAACCACTTGCAATATGAGTGAGTGTGAGTGCCGAAAAGGGAGAGAAAAAGGTAGCGCTTAGCGGCACAACCACCAACGTATTTGAGAAATTCTAAGAATTCACCGCTCTAGGAAATCATCTATTTTTCATACAAATATGCGCATATGTATGTATATGTCATACATATTTATATATAGTGATAGCAGTGTTGGCATTGAATCGCAATAGGTAGTCATTCATTGTTCATTCCATTTTAACATCCAGTCAGTGACCATGAGTCAAAATGCGAGCATTTGTATGTGCGAGAGAGAGCGAAATTTGTATAAATGCAATGATTTCATTGTTGCTGCGTTCAGACGAACCTCACTGCAAAGCAAGAAACTCATTTAACCTCGTATGGAATAAATCGGATGACTTATTTTCTTTGTTATTTATTAACCCTGTGTCGTTCCAAAAAATTATATATATGTACATATATATTTGACCCAACGTCACACACACGCACACCATCAACAACCACTGAATTCTCTCATATTCGTTCTCGCTCTCTATCTCTCTCTCTGCCATTGCCCGTCACTCGTGCCGCAACGTCCATCGACGTCGTGTAAAAATTCTTTTCGTTTTGTGTTTCACATTTTGGGTTAAATTTTCGAATGCAATTTTGAATACTATTGCTCACTTATACGGGCTTAAATTTATTTACAAATTTTTGCAAACTGCCTTGTTAATTCGACTTTCACTTATTATGAATTAAATCGTTGAATAATACTAACATTTTCTGATTATTTTTTGGCACTTTTTATACACGTGCTGCTGATTGTTAAAACCAAGCAAAAGAGGCTCCATCTTGCAAAACTTTTAGTGATGTAAGGGAAACAACCAAGTTATCGATATATCAAAGTTCAACTATCGAAATTTTCAACTTTAAATCTGCAATATTCAAAAGACTTTATAGTTGAAATCAGTTTTTATTTAAAGAAAAATATATATTCAATGTTTTTTTTTATTGATATATAAGTTGATTATTCAGATATATAAAGTTTTCAGTTGTTACAATCGATATACAAATACAATGGGAGCGGTGCTGCCATTCGACTAAGACCTAATGACTCATTCACTACATTTTTGTTATCGATCTACTATCGTACCTATTCAATTGTTTTCAGTATGCAGTATTTTTTAGAGCATATATATTTTCAAATTCAAAACAAAGATTACGGGTACCACAAATTTCCTTAAGCCTAGCCAAAAAATAAAGTTTGTGATTTATGAACAAAATTATGTAAATATTTGAAGCTGTGATTTTACTGATTTCGTATCATATCAATTTGTATATCGAATATGGTTCGAGATTAACAAATTCATCGCGAATTATAGTCGCGTATTTTTATTATCGATTTAATTGAACTATCGATGTTTCTGGTCCCATAGTCAGTATAATTTCATCGCCGCATCACACAGCGTGTGAAAAGTGTGAGTTAGCATTGGATTTTGGAGAACTTAGCGTATTAATTGCAAATTGTTGAATATGTGCAAATTCTAATTAAAGTTTGTGTGGCCGGCAGTTGAATTTTTATCAAAAAGGTTAGCAGCAAGACGTTGTTTCAATACAAAGCCAAGTTACAAATGAAAGGCCGACTCAATTACACGCACATACAGACACATATGCGTATATTCGCCGACGGCGTTGGCTGCACGCATATATGTGTATGTACATCTATGGGTAGCGTGTGTGTATAAGTGTGCAAAAAAGAAGTGGAAAAAGTTAAGCAGCCGGTCGGTGTCTCGCTGCCTCATTGCAAGAAATGTCAAAAATTGGCTGTTGGCCTTGCGTTTTTGCTTTTCGGCAAATAATTCTTTGTTGGGCAGCATTTACGGCAGATAAAGATAAATATATAATTTGTTCGTACATATACATGTGTATGTACATATTAAAATTTAAAAATCTATTTTTAATTTATGATTGACCATCCTCGTCGTCGGTTACTCGACCGGCTAGAAAAGCACTCAAGCAGCGGCAGAAAAGACCGATTCATAACACACACACACACACTTACTCATAGAATCAGGCAAGGAGACTTGAGATTGTTGAGTCATCGCCTGCTCTCACTCACTCATTTGCATTGCACGACCGGCGATTTATAACGGCCATATATGCCATTTCACTCGCACACACACTCCAGCGCACAGTTTTTGGCATTGCACTCGTCGAGTGAATCGGTGGGTGAGAGTGCTAGCGTCGGCGGCAGCTGTGACTCACGCGCGCTCTGAGTGCCTTTTTTTCTTCTCGATTTTCCATGCTTGGAGCCGCTAAACAACATTTTGCATTCAATCGTTTTTGTCATTCTGTGCAAGTCGGACGTGTTGGGGCTGCTGCTGCTGCTACGTACGGTTTACCCTCTGTTCATTGTGTGTGTGTGTGTGCTATCTTTTGCTGGCTGTGTTAGTGTGTGTGAGTTTTTTTTTGAAGAAACAGCTAGTTAAAAAAAAAGAAGTATGCACTGCTTTTCGAGTTTCATCGTAAAAATCGAGATTTGACAGGCGGCGCACAAACAAAAAAAAAAAAAAAAAATAATTAAAAGAAGAAAATTTCACATTTTTGAAAAGGCGTAAAGTTTTAATTCGTCAAATTATCGTTAATTTCTCTAAATAACTCTCTTTTCTACCCTCTCTCATTGCAGTTTAAATAAGTTTCCTTAAACAAATTACGTAGAAAATCCACGATTTTCTCACTCTCACTATACTAAATTTCTTGGTGGCGTGAAAAGTGTTTAACAACAGCAACAACGACTACAGCAGCAGCAATAACAAATTGAAACAAAGTAACGCGTGTGTGAAATACAACAAATACATATATACATATATTCAATAGTCATTAACAACCACAACAACAACAACAAATACAACAAACTACAATCATGAGCTGGCAAGATTATGTTGATAATCAACTTTTGGCCTCGCAGTGCATCACCAAGGCGTGCATTGCCGGACACGATGGCAACATTTGGGCGCAGTCCAATGGCTTTGAGGTGAGTACCGTTAATCCAGCCAACTAATCTTGCCGAACAAATTCTCGTTGGCAATTCGACACTGAGACATTTTTAGCAAGTTCAAGGGTGTGACCGACCGCCAGCAACAATGCGTCCTCTGTCTGCTCACTCACGCACACACACACACACACACACACACACACACACACACGCACAAACTCACATGCACATCAACACCCACGCATACAAAGAGATAGAGAGAGAGAGAGAGAGCAATAGCAGCTGGAAAATATATACCCCAGCAGGACTTCATCAAATAGTTCAAAGTAAACTGAACTAAAAATTTCATGACATTTAAATATCCAACTTGGAAGCTGTCGTTTAGGAAGTTTAGCTTCTGAATTTAGTTGATGTGTTTAGTTTATAATTTTGACATGATATGCTTAATGATGGGTAAATCTTGTAAATAATGTCTACAGCACATATCGTTAAATGCAAACGAAATTGTGAAGTTTCAGATCAAAATTTAACAAGAATTGCAAAGTTTTTAGATAGAATGTTAAATTCAGTGCATTTTGCATGCTCTTATGTACTGCTGTGCCTTAATCGCTTTGCTTCTTGTCCGCCATTTGTACTTTTATTTCGTTTGATAAAGCAACTCCCACCCTGTATGGGTGTGCACCCCCTGCATACGCTCTCTCTTGTTCTCTTTCTCTCCAGCTCTCTCGTCAGATATCGCCAATACAGCCGACTGCGCAGCTCTCTGCTCAGCTTCTTACCGTCTGTCGCGGTCACCCACATATACAAACGCAAAACTTTAAAATTCGAAAGTTCCTGTAAAACTGTAGTGCAATCGTCAAAGTTGCTGATAAGAATTCGTCTAGAATTGAATATATTAATAGCACAATAGGGCACAGCTGGACAAATTGGCTGCTGTTGATTATCAAAAGCAAAGCCTTCGATTATTTTGTGACTCATTAAAAAAAAATTGCTCTCAGGTGGATTAGTCACTCAATTGAGTATTAAAACAAAGATGATTCGTCATTTAGAGTGCATTCGATGAAAGGTGTTTAGCCTGCAATGGCTGAGCGCAGACTGTGTCTGTGCCCGTGTGTGTGTGTGTGCGTTTGTGAGTAATTTCTCATAGCCGGGTTTGGCCGGCACAACACAAGCATGTGTGCACTTTCCAACACTGGCGCGATAGCACTGCGCTGTTTATCCCCTGCGCACTCTTTTTCATACAACACAAGCTGAGCTGGTTGACGAAAGATTGAAGTAGGAGAGAAAGAGAGAGAGTGAGTGAGAGGGAAAATTGCCCTTTATGCGACTCACACCGCTCGCCGCATATAATAAAATAACTAACCGGCGTTATTTGCTCTTATCAACACACACACAGACACACACATGAAGCACTTCACTCAATAGTTTGATGTGCATATGTGTGCGTTTATTATCTTTGTTTCCTCTGCCAACGAAAAACATTTTTTTTTTATCACAAAAATAATAATAAAACTACGCGCAAGTTTTAAGTCGATTGGAAGTGAAACGAAAGAAATGTATCTTGAAAAACGCAACGACCGCAGTGCCGCGTCATCAGCGTCTACATTTTATATTCGCGCCACGTTTTCGCATTTACTTTATATGTATGACTGTGTGTGTGTGTGTCTGTGTATGTGTGCTTGTGAGTGTGTACAACTTCCTGCTGACTCCGCCGTGCGCCTAACCGCATACTTTATCCTTTGTTTGTGCGTCTGTTGCGCGCCCCATTCATGCTTGTTTTTTTTTTTTTTTCGTCGACAGGGGTGGGGCCCAGGGACACTCCCTTGTGCTTTGTTTTTAGTATATTTTTCGCGCAGTCTGCTTTGCCAACTGTCCAAGATGCAGTATTATCGATAAATATAATCGATATTTATAATTTATCTACCATCGAAAAATTAGCATACGCCAAAAATGATTTGTTTGCACGACAAAAGTCGAAATTTATATAGACATGTTATATAATATAAAATGAGTGCAAAATGTGAAATGAACTTACAATTGTTGAAGAAGAAGAGTCCTTTTTTATATTTTTTAAGCTCCAAGTGGGAAAAAGTTGCAGACATTTTTGATGCCAACAACAACGGTGACAACCTTCGTTTTTGGCCATTTGCTGTATTTGCAATTCGCCGCGTACATACATTCACGAATCTCACTTTCATTTTGTGTTGGCCTCCGATCGAATGTTATGTATGTGACTCTTCTTCTTTTTTTTATATATTATTTTCTTTCTTTGCACTTACACTACGTTCGTATGGCTTAGAGTTTACCTACATATCTACCTGAATCTGTTTGATTCGTTACATTTCCATGATTCATCGAAAAATTTATCGCCAAATAAAGTTATTCGAGTTTGGATCAGCTGCTGTGTGGCATTGCCAGACATTTTTTTTCTTTGTATATGTGTGTGTTGTCAACTTTTGAGCCAAAAGTGCGTTCTTATCAAAACCGTTTTTTTTTTTTTGCGTATTACGCTTCGTTTTTTTAAAATACACGCAAATGGATTGTAGCATAAAACCCGTCTGCTTTATAAGTAACAATTTGTGTGTTTTTTAAATAGTTGCACTTTTGGAAAAACATTAGTTAAAAAGGCTGCGTTTGGCGGCATTTTTTTTAATTTGGCTCGTTATTGTACATTTTTTGTGGTCATTGCCTTGCCTATTATTAGTGTGCATTTCTTTAATTAATTGAGTGGTTTTGATAAATTTATTAGACATTTTTGGCATACCTACAGCTTTGTTCGCGAAACCGGCTTTTTATGGACTGCGCTCTCTCTTTGCGCACTCACCCAGCAGCTACTCACACTGATACACTCAGGCTTTTGCGCTCAATTTGGAAACTTCTGGAAGGTTTTTTTTGTCGTTGTTCTCTTTTCGGCTGGTTTGTCTCTCATTCTGCCGGCAACTGTCATTAACATATTTGCCGCTTGTACCGCAACGACTTAGCAAAAGACTTATTAATAATCATTGTTCTGTTCCTTTGCCAAATTGCTGGCGCTTGGCAACAACGCACAAAAACTGAAAGAGCGAATTTTGCAAACTCTTGTGTCCTGCAAATGTTCATAACATTTTGCGTGGGGTAAGGCAACTCCTCGTTTTGCGTGTTAGTGTTGGCAAACTAGTTTTTGCTCTTTACGATTACAAAATCAAGGCAAACGGTCAGCCGTTCCTTGCTTGTTATTGTTGCTGCTGCTGCTTCTGCTGCTGCTGCAGCGTGTCTCTCATTTTGTTAATGAGTTGGCAGAAGACGTCGTCGTCATATTCATTTCATGGGTGGTGAATGTGGGCAGTGGTGGGTTTTTATTTGCTTACCTCTCTCCCTCTCTCTCTCTCGCTTCCCTATACGGGGCTTGCACGTTTGAGTGGGCTGTTTGCTGATTACAAAATGAATGTATGTATGTGTGTGTGCGTATGTGTGTGTGCGTGTGTGTGTTTTGCCGCCACACACCTCACTGCCTAACACTAGGCTTCTTAGTAAGGATTATTATTAAAAGAAATTGTATGTGCACGCACGGCAACGCAGGATGCATAAATTTTCTAAAATTTATGGCACGTGTGCGTGACCCAAAGCCGGTTATAGGGTATTCAAATGTAATGCATACATATGTAAAAATGATTTTATTTTGTATATTGCAGGTTACAAAGGAGGAGCTGGCCAAATTGATCAGCGGCTTTGATCAGCAAGACCTGCTTACCAGCAGCGGCGTGACATTAGCCGGCCAACGGTACATTTACCTCTCAGGCACAGATCGCGTGGTGCGCGCAAAACTGGGCAGAAACGGAGTGCACTGCATGAAGACGACACAAGGTAGGTGAAAAAAAAAATAAACGGAATGTAGAGTTGCCAACTGACATTTTTGACAGTTTTCAGGGTATATATATTAGTCGTTGATGGGGCACAATTCTTATCAGTTGCGTGCTTCTTAGCTTCTTAATTTCATTAATTATTTGTTTTCCCCTGCCTGTAAGCACAATGTAGGTGCAAAGCATTTAATCCCTAGATAAGTCTTGTGACTTGTGCCAGGAGCCCGTAGCAATAACATTTTGATAAGCATTGAAAAGTTAGCAATTGCGGTATTTTTTCCTTGTTGCAAGTATATACAAATTTATACATATATGCGTTTTGTTTTTTCCTTTTCATCTGTCTGATAAGCAGAGTGCGAGTGATTGCTCGTTACAAAAACAAAGGAAAAAATAACCCAAGAGCAGCAGAGCCAAACATTAATGTATAAAATGCCTAATTTGTTGTTGTTGTTGTTGTTGTTTTTGTGCATTTTTGCCACGTAACCAACGGCAAACGTAATAAGCTGTAAATGATAGGCAATCATTATGCTATGTGCCTGCAGTTTGTTGCTCCATTTTCCCGGTCAACTGGCGGCTCCTTCTGATACACACACACACACACACACACGCACACTCACCCATACACTTGCTCTCAAATAGCTGGCAAAATAAAATGTGGCAGCGTTTCGTTTTTCACTCAATTTTTTTTTTTTTGCTTATTTTCTTTTACACCTTGTGCCTAAAATATGTTTGTTGTTGCTGTGAAAACTCTTGGAAGCAGCTGTCTGTCTAACAGTATGTGTTTGCCAGCTCGTTTATATATATATATATATGTGTGTGTGTGTGTGCCATAAAACTAAATTTGTTTTTGCTGCTTGTTTGCCGACGCTTCGTCAGCGTCGTCGTCGCCGTCGGCGTCGTCTTCCATATTTGCCTAGTTTTCTATATACATACATATATATTTGCGGCAACTGTTGCGCGGCGTCGCTGCTGTCCGCTGCAGCAGCCGCAGAGCTCAAGGTTATTGCCATAATCCATTTCAAGTGCAAATGTTGCACAGAATAAGCCGCAAAAGTAGCGGCAAGCGAGTAGCATATAAATGGAAATAGGCAAGAAATTGGCATAAAATGGCAAACTGGTCTCTCTCTCGCTCTCCCGCTCTCTCGCTTGCTTTGACCTAGCTGACTTGTGTGTGTGTGCGTGTGTGTGTATATGTATGCATGTTGGCGCCTGGGATAAGTCTCTGGACTCTTGCTTTGACTTTATTTGGCATTAAATTTGAGCTCTCCGAGGCTGGCGCTTTGCTGGCACAGCTGATCGCGCACGACTTACAATCGATTAAATTACCAAGCAATTTATTTACCGCAAATTACCCCCACACTGGCCCCTCTACACGGTGTGACCATCGCAGCCTTACATTGTCTGTCTGTCTGTGTGTGTGTGTGTGTTTGTTTGTTTGTTTTTGTATGCAACACTTTGGTAATTAAAAGGCGCGTGTAACAGCGTTTAAACTGAAATACAACTTGATATGCTTGTTTTTAGTACGCTTCAAATGTTTCAAGGCATGCGGCGCGCACTGCTTTTGTGTAATTAAATATGAATTGAAATGTAATATTAGCATTGTGCGCGCTATCAGACAAACAGACACATTAACAGCTTCTTATCGAATTTAGTTATCGATTGACAGAGACACATTGCCTGCCCTCTCTCTCTCTCTTTCTCTCTCTCACACGTGTGGGTGGGTGTTGCCAGCCTGCTGCAGGGCGCTACAAGTGTGTGTTTGTCTATGGGTGTGTGTGTGTGTGTGTGTGTACTCGTGCGTCTGTTTATCTCTATCTCGCTTGCTCGTTCGCTCTTGCTCGTAGACATGACACTTCACTTTTGGTTTATTGACCCCAGTTCAAAAATTTCTTGGAATTTTTGTTGGCTTTGATTTGATTTGCTTGGAGCGTCAGTTAATTGGGTTAACAACAAAAAGAACAACAACAACAACAAGAACAACAATTTGATGCACAATTGATTAATGTAGTAAGAGTATCAAACACTTGACGCGATTCATTTACATTTCAGTAATACAATTTTTGTTGCCGTCTGTTTGGCAGCGTGAAAGACTTGTCATTCAATATTATGTGGCTATCTGTGGCCGGTCTGTCCGGTTTTCACCTGGTCCAGAGTCTCTCTGCCTCTCTGTTTCTTTCTCTGCATCGTTTTATTGAGCGTTTTATTCATAATTTACTTGTTGATGATGTTCTGTAAAATACAGTTAGTTCTTGTTTCTCCATTTGCTGCCGTGCTTTGCTTTCTCTAAACTATTCGTTTCTGTTATATTGTCAACCGGATAAGCGTCTAAAGATGTTTGTGTATGTGTATGTGTGTGTGTGTGTGTAATTATGTTGCCGTGTTAAAATAGCCAAAGAGATTTTTACAAATGATTAAGATTCCATGCTGAGCGTAGAATAGCTGAGTGTTATGCGGCCAGTGTTAATAATACTTTATGCTATCGATAAAATTGGTGTTGAAATAAATTATCGATTGTGGATGGGGCTTCTTTTTAATGCTTTTAATGTGGAAATTGATCAAGTTTAAATATTCTTTTATATTTGTTCTCTTGCAGCCGTCATTGTTTCCATCTACGAGGATCCTGTGCAGCCCCAGCAGGCCGCTTCCGTGGTGGAGAAACTTGGAGATTATCTGATTACTTGCGGGTACTAGAAAATAAAATATAAAACAACAACAATACAACACCATCAACAACAACAACAAACAACAAACACAACAACAACACAGCAACAAATTCGATAAGAAAGCGTAAATGAACTAAATAACTAAAAAAAAAAAAAGAAAAGTAATTATTAATATTTAAATTTATGAGAAATGGCAAGAAACATTTTGAGGTAATTGTGGTCAAATAAATCAGAAACTTGAGCAGAGAAACCAATGTCAAAAAAAGCATAAAACCAACAACAACAACAACAAAGTAATTACCCAAATGACCTACAACAAAATTATAAATTTCTGCATAATTATATTTAAACATTTTTGGTTCATACGATAAAAATAATAATAAAAAAAAAAAAAACAAAAACAAACAAAATCTTAAACTCAACATAAGACAAAAAACGTATTGGAAAGCATTTTGTAAGCAACAAGAAAATTAACAACGCAAAGCAACGCAGGCAAATTTTTGAAAACTTTTTTGTACAGCTGTCTAGTATATATATATATATATATATACCGATCTATAAACACACACATACACAGACTAGTTGGGATTGAGTGAGAGAGGGTGTTGAGAAATAGGAACAGAATATGGAAAAGAGAAAGAGAGATAAGTCGAGAGAGTCAGTCAAGCAGCGAACACACAGGTAATTACCAACCAATATAAATGAATATATATATGTATATATATATAACTATATATATATTTATATATGTAAACTATTTGGAGAACCATGAAGCTCTATTTTTATGTGGCAGGGAAGATACACACATACACCTACAACATCTACAGTGGTAGCATTTTTTATACGAAAGACAAAACTTTGAGAAATGTGTAATATTTAAAAAGAGAAAAACCATAAAAAAGAGCATACATTCTTTTAGCCATATTTGAAATATATGTATGTATATGCTCATCATTGGGAGTTAGGTAAAACAGAAGATTCCAAGACACCAACAACACGCACACATATATATTTCGTTTTCCAAACCGTCTCATCTAGCCATACATATATAGATACACACATACATACATACATACATTCATATAAACGTACATGCATACATATACTTGTACACTTGCGCCATTTGCTCTCTCTCTCTGTTTGCGCTTTTCATGTTTGTAATTTTGCTATATTCATACAAAAAAAAAAAACAAAAAAAAAAACGAACGCTAAAAACGTACATACATATTTATCGATAAACGGCAATTACAATCCGAACGCTGTGCAACACTGTCCGTCTCCTGCCAGTCCGCCTGCATGCCTGGTTTATGTGCCAGCGCGTTTAGAGGAAAATTCATTGCTGAATCTAAATTAACAACAAACAGAATTCGGTAATAAATTGCCATTAACAACACATACATTTACATACAAGACGACCCGTCAAATGCATGCAAATAATAAACGAAACAAAAAAAAAAAAATAAATAAAAATTTAAACTACTTACTACCAAGCATACATAAATAAATGGCTTTTTATGTTAGTTAAACAAAAGTCTTTTTTCCAACATTTTCCCCTATCATTTTTACGTAAAGAAAGCGTCGAAAGACAAACAAAATTCATAAAAAAGAAAAACAACAAAAACAAAAACAATGCATTAATATAAATATAAAAAGGAAATGAAAAACATATATAATACGATACTTTAATACTATTGAAATAAAAAACGGAGCAAGGCAAAAATCCTGCTCATAAAAATGGTATACAAAGGCTCTTTTTTCTTGTTTCCACTGGGCACTTTTCCAGTGTTGTTAAAGCTGTCGATTCCAAATCGATAGATTAATAAACTTGGTTATCGATCTATCGATCTAACGTACATTTCGCTTGGGCTCGCTGCACAATTGCATAAAATACTTTTAGCTATATAAAAATTCATAAGTTCGTTGTCTTTTAATTAAATGGGGCCTTCATGGAAAATAAGTCAACGACATATTTTTTTTTATCTATATTTTTATGGCTGACGCAATCGCACAATTATTTCATAAATAATGTGCAAAATTTGAATATTTTCCACGCAGCTGCGGTTCTCTGTTCTCTTCAGCAAATGTCATTTTCGGCATATTTCATTTTTTCTTATTTTTTGACTTGGCCCGTCGCAACATTGACCCAAAAATACAAATTCATACGCAGCGTGAAAATCTTCGCACATCTTTGGATGATGAGTTCCAACACATGTGCTTGACACTTTCGCTTTTGAATCGAGTTTCTTTTTTATTTGGTGAAAATCAGCATTGGCTATTTATCGGTTGCACAATTAATCACAGCATATTATTATGATGATGATTATTGTTGTTTGTAATAAAACTGACTGGGCCTGGTTTTTGCGCCGCACACTCTTCTCCCCCTTTGAACAATTTATGGCTCGTCTGTGTGTTGAATACCCTTGCAAAGAGTTAACAGCTTAGTCATAGATGTTGAAAGCTATGAAAACTTATTCGACTTCTACATAATATAGGCATAGTATATATAAATATGGGTCTGGTCTTTGCGCCGCACACTCTTCTCCCCCTTTACAATTTATGGCTCGTCTGTGTGTTGAATACCCTTGCAGAGTATTTCAATTTAGTCATAGAAGAGAAGTAGACGTCGTTCAAAAAGTATGAGTTTTAATTGAGTTCTACCTTTTATAGGAAGCATCTGTCCACTTTGTTATTAATATGTCCTCATATTTCTTCTATTCCTCTCACTTAGTTGCAATAGCATAGACCTTTTGTTTGTAAGAGTATCAAAACTTCGGCATGCCGTAGAGTGTAACTTTTTGTTTTTATTCCTAGCTCTAACGGCATCATATATAAATTGTTTGGCTGCGGGGAAGCTAGAAATCAGCACACATTAATTCATTTAATAAAATATGCAAATTTTTCAAAGGCATGTGTAATTTTTTACGACTTGGGATGCCTCAATAAAAACAAAGCTGTTGGCCTTGCATTTTTTGTTTAGAATTTGAATTGGCAAATTATCAACCAGTGTTGGGCAGCACATAAAGAAAACATTACCTATCGATTAACTATCGATAACACTCGATTATAAAAACAATTGACATTTTATAAATTTTGAATAGGTTTTTTAGAGAAATAACACTCGATTATAAAAGCAATTGACATTTTTTAAAATTTTGAATAGGTTTTTGACAGAAATACTACATTTACATCTGCATTTTACCTAAATCTGGGGTATATTCATTTAGAATCCGGTCTGTCCCTGTACACGGCGTAATTGCTCGAACGCAATCCAAAATATAATCGACCAGGGTCCAATGCGCAACCAGCAGGGCAAAAAACCCTTATACATGGCAAAGAAGCCCTCCTGTGTAATCAGCTTGTGGTAACAGTCGAATGCGTTCTTGTAGTGTAGGCCTTGGCCCTCGTCATTGTACGGCTGGTTTATGATGCGCGACTTGACCACATCGGCGGGTGTGCTCAGTATGCTGGCTGCCAAGCCGGCGGACACTGATGCCAGGAACTGTAAAACGCGTCCATCTTCCAAGTGCAGCAAGGCAATTAAGTGGCGCTTGCTAAGATCATAGCAGGCCGTGTCGCCTGAGCGATAAATGTGATTCAAAATGTATGCATTCTTGCAGTTTTAGTTGCGGGCGAATCGCAATTGCTTACCGGCTGTCATGAGCGTGGCCCGCAGACAGCTTGGCCCCACGCCCTTCCACAAGGTCTTCAGACCACCCTGGGCATAGATGGACTCCAGCGCCTGCTTCACATTGCTAACCCGCACTGGATAGCCGAGCGAGCGCTGTCTGCCCTCCATTTGCATGCGTATCTTGACTATGTCCAGCGGATTGGCAATTGCCTGGCACATGCAGCCGGCCAGGCAGCCGGCAAGAAAGCCACGCATCATGGACAGCACCTCCTTGCCATTTTCATCCACATAGATCAACTGGTGACGCACATAGTCGTAGGCTACGACACGGGGAGCATTGAACAGCAGGTTACGGATCACCATTGCCGACAGGCCACCGTAGGTGCCACGAAATCCCTCCTCACGCATCATTCCAAACAGTGTGCCGAACATGCCACGTTTGGGTTTGCTGGCGGCTAACTTATCCGCTGCCTCGCCCTGCAAATGTAAACGCGTCTTGGTCACGTCCAGCGGGTAGGAAAAGAGCTCGGCAATGGTGGCCCCAACGAAGGTATTGATGTACACCAGCAGGAGCTGGTGGGACTGCGTGGCCTGTTCGAACGATTCCGGCCACGATTGTCTGTTTGGGTAATCTTGAAATACATCTTTTTTATTCATAACAAGAATTTGATAACGGAAACAAATGAAACAAGTAAGAGGTTCTAGTCGGGAGCTCCCGACTAGGGGATACCCTGAACCCTCTTCTTCCAACATCAAATGCATATATATATTCTATTTTAGAAGCTATATGTCAAGTTTGGTGACTCTAGCTCTTATTATTTACCAAAATTGCCCAAAAAACAGGATATCGATATCGATTTTTATCGACTGCTTGGAAACGGAGTAAGTTATCGATTATCGGAAACAAACTCGATCTGCACGGGAACTAAGAGCACCTACATCTAAATATTTCAAGTCTCTAGCTCTTATAGGTTCTAAGATCCTTGCGTTCATACATACGGACGGACGGACGGACGGACGGACGGACGGACGGACGGACGGACATGGCTAGATCGACTCGGCTATTGATGCTGATCAAGAATATATATACTTTATGCGGTCGGAGATGCTTCCTTCTGCCTGTTACATACATTTGGATTTTGCACAAATACAATATACCCTTGTACCCATTTTTAATGGGTTCAGGGTATAAAAACAAAAAACAAAACGACCAAAAAAAACATAATTAAAAAAACAAGTAATTTTATTTGACAGGGTAAAATGTAGACATGACTACTAAATCCGTTGCAGCCGAATAAAAATATATTCACGGACATTTTGCTGGCATTCAAAAGCCAGTCTGACCCTCCCATACACGTAATTGTTCGACGGACAACCAAAACAACACCGACCAGGGCCCCAATCTCAGCCAGCAGGGTATGAGGCCCTTGTACAAATTAAGAAAACCCTCGTCTCTCAACAGTTTGACGAGACAATCCACGGAGTTTTTATAGTATACACCCTTGCCGTTTTCATCTATCGGCTGATTCATCACTCGTGACTTAATCACATCCGCCGGATTGCTAAGCACACTGGCCACCAGTCCGGCGACCATTGATGATGCGAAACGCAGCGGTATCCCCTCCTCCATGCCTAAATATTTCTTTAAGTTACGCTTGCATAGATCATAGGCACCCACATCGCCGGCGGTCATTAGGCAGGCGCGTGTACAGCTTGGTCCGACACCACGCCACATGCCCACCACGCCCGACTTTCTATAGATTTCAGCTAGATCGCTTACGAAGTTTGTGGTGCGCGGCTCCATGCCCATTAGTAGACGCCTGCCCTCCATTTGCATGCGCACCTTGACAATGTCAAAGGGATTGGCCAGCGCCTGGGCAATGCAGCCGGCGGCGCTGCCGCACAGAAATGCATGATGTATCTTGATTGACTGGACATTTTGGGCATCTTCGTAAATGAAACTACGCCGGAATACATCGTAGAGCATAACGCGCAATGAATTGAATATGAAATTACGAACGACCATGGCCGAGAAGCCGGAATAAAGATTTTTTGGTCCCTCCTCAACCCAAATGCCGTAGAGAGTCCTGAACATGTTACGCGGCTTGCTGCCCGTCCTTTTCGCCTCCTCGCCATGCACCTGCATACGGGTCTTGCTCACGTCCAGTGAATACATGCATGCCTCCGCAAAGTTGGCGCCAATGAATGTATTGACATACAACTGCAACAGATTTCTCACCGAGAGCTGTTCCTGGTTGTCCACACTGCGTATTGCCGCCTTATCGTATAGTGGCTTCAGGTGCCAATAGTTGTTCTCATCCCTATCCATAACTCAGAATTTTGTCTTTTTTTTTTTTTTACCTGGTTTACTATCTAGTGTACAATAACAATTTCTAATACAACATTGTTTGGTTTGATCGTAATTGTGCTTGTAACATAAATATCAGAAACAGCTTGATTCGGCCTTAATAACCCGCATCGCCATGAAGACTACGGATCTGCTCAAAGGATAGCCAAAATATTAACGCCCAGGGTCCCACGCGCAGCCAATACGGCAGAAAGCCCTTGTACATGGCCAAGAAGCCTTCCTGCTGCACCAGCTTCGTGAAACAGTTCATGGTGCCTCTATAGTGCAGGCCACGGCCCGCCTTATCCACTGGCTGGTTCATCATACGCGACTTGACCACATCTGCGGGCGTGCTAAGCACTGCTCCCGCCAATCCAGCTATCATTGCGCCCAGAAACTGTATCAATAGATTATCGGGCATATTCAAAATATCCATCAGTTGGCGCTTACTTAGATCATAAAAACTAACGTCGCCTGAGAAAGCAAAAGGGGGCAAAGGAGATAAAAGCATCAAAAAATATTCTGCAATTTCTGCTAGTCGACTTTGGGGAATTATTGGCAAAATGGGCAATACATATTTTCGGTTTGATTTTTCCAATAACTTTATATACTTAACGCAATTTTTTTTTTATTAAAGAATATATATTATTTTTTATTTAACAGCTAATACTTATAGAAGTCTAGAATATTTTCTTAACCATCATTAAACTCTTTATACATATATTTTTTTAATTTATTTTTTTATATATATTTTTTTTATGTATATATTTATACAAATGCATAAAAGAAGTATATTCTACATTTTCAGATATTAAATTTTTGGAAATATTTTCTCTAATATATTATCTAATAGGTATGCATTTTCTGGCAATATATTATTATATACAACTGCTAAGAGTTTTTTTTTAATTATTGAAAAATCTTTTTAGATATATATTTAATTTTAAGCAAATAACCTTAGAAAATATATTCGTATATTACGAAAAATATAATAAATTAGCTAATAAAAAAAAATAAATAAAATACTTTTTTTTTTTAGTTTGTAATATTATATTATTCAATTAAATATATTACAAAAAAATATAAAAAATATATAAATATATATATATATTTTTTTATTTATATCTTTCTTAAACAATCTAACTAACTAGAGTAAGAATTTTAACAACATAAATGGGTATATATATATATTTTACTCTGCACGGTATTATAAAATATGTATGTATACAAAATAAGTACTATATATATTACTGATAAATAGCCAAGTTCGTTGCTTCTTTTAAAACGAATGTCTCAGATAGATGGTGAGCTATATTAATAATTCTCAAAATCGGACGCATTTCACAACATGTAAGCATATATTCTTTTGTATGCAAACAATGTATGACTTTTAAGATATCTCAACGACAATACTTTAGTCAAAAATATATATATAGGTAGATGTAGATACTGTAATCTAGCTTGTAATACCCACTAATATAAATTTTGCATATAACCTCAACTTGCATTGTAAAATATTTCTAACAACAACAAATATGATCTGGACTTGCTCGATCCATGGACCGTAAATAGTTAGGGGCATATGCTAGGCGATAAAATAATCTCTACTCTAAGGGTCTCTTACCTAACGTGACGAGGCCGGAACGCCAAGCATTTGGCACCGTGCCCTTCCACAGGGCTACAATCCCGCCCGCTTTGTAGATGGATGTGAGTGCCTGGTATACATTGTGTATTCTCGGAGGTTCACCCATTAAAAGTCGTTTGCTCTCCATTTGCATTTGCACCTTGATCAGATCGGTGGGCGAGGTTAAAAGAGTGGCGCCAGCACCGGCCACAATGCCACAGATGGCACCACGCAAAAATGTCAATTTCTGCTTGCCATCCTGGTCAAGGATCAAAGCCTCGCGCAGCGTATCGTACAAATACATTTTGAGGCCCGTATAGATCGCGTGGCGCAACAACATGGCCGAAATGCCGCCATAGAGCTTATGCAAGCCCTCCTCCCGGATAATGGCCCGAGCAGTGCCAAACATGCCGCTATATTTGATATTGGAGTAGGTTTTGCTTGCGATCTCGCCCTGAATCTGCATGCGAGTCTTCAGCACATCCAAGGGATAGCAGAACATTTCGGCGCAGCACGCCGACAGCACGGAGCTCGCATAGAGTTCCACAAAGGGTGTTTTCCTATTCGTGGACAGATAATACAATCTGGAACGCTGCGCTGTCAGCAGCTCCTTCTCCGTTGTCTCGAGCTCAACGAGCGAATCCATTGAAAATTTTGAATATGTATATATGCATATAATTAAAATGCATTAAATAATGTGTTTACCCTAAATTTTGGTAAGCTTGGAAATAATTTCCAAGCTCTGCAGAATTAAAAAAAATAACATATTTATTTATTTTTTTGTAATGTGTGCGAATGTCATTTAGATTGTCAAGTTTAATTTAAAAATAGGCCTAATCTCAATCTTAGCATGCCCTTTGCCCAACATCAAATCATTCCAATTAACTGATTGAATTGCCTAAAATCCATATTCAATTTTATACCCATGTCTACATTTATATATATTCACTTTTTTTTTTGGTAATTCGAGAGTTTGTTGAACTGCAGCACGCGCTTAAAAGTTGCCCAGATCGGCTAAAATACAAGTTAATGAACGTAAATACGAAGTCCTAGAGTAATTTTTAGGCTATGCCAACGTTTGAATGCTCTGCAATTCACATTAAGCACGATATATTGAAATTATTAAAAAACATATTTTAGTTACATTTTTGTATGCCTTTATACTCTCCAGATTTTAAGTAGAATTTTATATAGTTAAACTTTAATTTTAATTTCAATAAATATGTTTTATATATTAATTAATGTATGTTTTATGCATTAATATTGAATTATTTAAATATTATAAATTATTATTAAGCTATTTAGGTGACGTTTTTATTGAATTATGTTAGCTACAATAATATTTATTTTATACAAACAAATTTTTAATTTAAGTTAAGCTCTTTTTAACCCGCTTTTGGATCATAAAATATCATTAGAGCATTTGAGATTCCACTGTAACAAGTTTGAATGAATACTAAATTTGTAGCTGACGCTCGAAATCGGTATAACCTACCTTGTCAATTCATATTGAACCCTCTGGCACAGGTTGGGGCATTCTAGAATTTCAAGTGAAAGACACTCCGATTACCAGAGCAGCGCCAAAGGCTAAGCCATAAACGGAGCAAGTGAACCAAGAAGTGCTGCACGGATTGCGCAAGATTACACAGAATTCTGTGGGTGAGTCGTGGGAGTTTCGTGTTCCCATCCAGAGGGGATCTAGTCTGGTACTTCTCTCTCTCTGACGATTGCCACATTTCCAGCTGCAACGGAAGTTAGTAAACGGAAGCAATGCCTCGGCCTGGCCCAGGAGGATCAGCGAGAACAGCAGCTAGAGGATTCCTAGAAGATCCTTATTTGAGGCGCAGCAATGAGGAAGGGACCTGCATGACGTCATATCAGAATCAAGCGACAGCTGATGAGTCGCATAAGGCACAAGCAGCTGCCCGGAAGTCAGCCTGGGGTTCTTCCCATAGACAGTTAAACAATTTCTAATGATATTAATAAATATTTCTATATTTAAATTGCAACTAACTCTAACAATCATTCTTTTAGTTTTTCCCTTTTGCTTAATTCTATTACGAAAAATTCCCACTTTGATTAAAAGCACTTGACACTGATAGAATTATTAACGGTGCCTCTGCTAGTTGGTTCATATCTATAAAATGCCCAACAATTAAAAAGCCAGGTAAAACTGCTTTAGTTGGTATTGCCCGGCCACAAAATACCCTGTACCCGAACTGCTTTGACAATCATTTCAAGTTTCCTTCATTTATACAGAAGACCATTAAAACTATTATACTCTTTTTATAGGATTTTTAAAATTTCCCTTAAGCTCTTGTTTGTATACATGTTCGCAATAGAAAAATGTGTTATATGCATGGTTTAAAGATTATTACGGCAAAATTTGACGAATTACGTTCTAGCAAAGAGCTTTAGTTATACGTTATATGTGTACATACTGCAGGCTGCAGCTTGGTGCTATATATATTATGTGTACATATGTAGCGTTCGCGCTAATGGCGGCGATGCTTTTGATCCCGTTACTTTGAAAGCGCATCAAGAGGAGAGCGAGAGTAATTGGTGTGAGCGCAGAGTTGAGCCTAGACGAATTAGCGTAGGCGCGAGCTTAATGAGATAAATTAGTTTGTGCGCGTCTGCCCTGTTGATCGGCCGTAGTCTGTGCGCGTGTGTAGTTGTGTGTGTGTGTGTGTTTTTTTTTTTTTAATAAAGTAAAATTATCTACATACCTATCTTAAAACGCGATTCGCTTGTGCTGTGTGTGTTATACCTCAATTTGTCAAGTATCCACATATTCTCCAGCTGTTGTGGTATGTACCTTCGCATATTAAACCATCTTTAAAATGTAAAAACGTACATACAAACATACATGCATAAAATTTTTTTCTCGTTGAGCTTTTTCACGTACATATGTGTGTATGTACATATATCAAAATGGCGCGATACTTGCACTTGATTTTATTTGCTTGCAAATATTGAAGAATGCTGAGATAAAGGGAGAGAGTGAAAGGGACAGTTATCTGAAGCGATTCTTGAACAAGTAAAATTGCTCAGGCCAAGAGTGCCCGACAGATAGATAGCCTGTAATCATCTGCTTGTTCTGCTTGTTACATACATTTGAACAAAACGTTTATACACTTTATAAGCCAGTCACAATGGGTATAAATGGTAGAAATAACACGGGCGATAAGGTAGATATGGCAAATTAAAGAGAACGAAGAAGTTGATGACGATGACATTGCACGCTAGAGCTACCGCGCCCAAAACTGCGTATTGTGAGGGGAAAGGTGGTAGGGCGGCTGTGGGGTGGTTGTATAAACTGCTTATTGAAAATAATGATGATTAGGATCTGTTCGTGTGTGTGTGTGTGTGGGACGTGTGCTAGTGTGTGCCAACACATTTTGTGCTGCCGTGCAACGACACACGCAGGCTACCCTCAAAAGCCGGCACGACCTCAATATGGGTGCGGTTCCCAGCCAGCTAGGGGAGTTGGCCATATAGCCAGCCACTTTGTCTATGCCGCCACCGACTCACTCGCCAAATGAGTAAATGAGTGAGTAAGTGGCGCTGTCAGTCAGTCAGAAACAACAACAACAACAACAAGCTATTCGAGCACGCGCCCATACATCTTACAACTATACATTATGCGAAACTGCCTCTTCCTGCTGCCTTCCGCTCTCCCTCTCTCGATCTCTCGCTCTCTCGCTCTCTCTCGCTCTCTTCCCCTTCCCTGTCCCGTTGAAGTGTGCTTAGCACTTTTGTTAAATGAAAGCGACGTTTGTTAGTTGCGCAGTAGGGAGGGGGGTGGGGCGACAGGCCCAGCAAAGGGGGAACTGGGTAATTTAAAATTCCCAACACACGCACGAATTATATGGCTCAGTAATTGCTGGCAGGGGTTTTACTTACGCCGGCTGCTGTGCCAGGTCAGCTTCTGTTGAACTGTTATACACTGCCACGAAATCCAATACGCTTTGACCAACTGACCAATTTATCAAACAACTTTAACTAATGCTCAACAGTATAACACATACAAATACAACAACAGGTATACACATACAGGGCATATTGCCATTTACACTTAAAGGTTGTGTTGACTGGACGGTAATTTGAGAGTTTGTTGAACTGCAGCACGCGAAATTGAAGTCCGCTAAAAAGTTGCTCCGATCAGCTGAAAATAAAAATTATATGCTCAGAGTTTAATGAAAGAACAAAAATACGTTGTAGTGATTTATAGATTATGCCAACGTCTGAATGTTCTTCAAATGAAATTAAATAATATTAAGTATACTAATAAAATTATTATAAAATTACTGCGTTTATTCTAGGCATAGAAATTGGAGAGATTTTCAAATTGTAAGACCTTTTTTTTGCCAAAATTATGATTACGTTTGGGTTTTCTTTATGATTATGCTGAAGAGCATGATTTTAATATTTGATTCCCATTATGATTACAAGGAAATTGAATCATACATAAAAAGACAATTTTTTTGGTAAATTTCGAGTTGACGCTTTAAATCGGTATGCCCCACCTTGTCAAGGGTAGTCAATTCATATTGAACCCTCTGGTACAGGTTGGGGCATTATAGATGGTTATAAAGGTTTTTATTCAGTGCTACGAATTTCAAGTGAAAGACACTCCGATTACCAGAGCAGCGCCAAAGGCTAAGCCATAAACGGAGCAAGTGAACCAAGAAGTGCTGCACGGATTGCGCAAGATTACACAGAATTCTGTGGGTGAGTCGTGGGAGTTTCATGTTCCCATCCAGAGGGGATCTAGTCTGGTACTTCTCTCTCTCTGACGATTGCCACATTTGCAGCGTATAAAAGCACCGCAGCCAGCTGCAACGGAAGTTAGTAAACGGAAGCAATGGTCAATTATTCACAGCATTTGAGGCTGCTGCTGCTGCTGTGCCCGCTGGCACTCGGCCTGGCCCAGGAGGAGCAGCATGAGCAGCAGCTGGAGGCGCTGCATCGCAGCAAGCGCACGTTGACGACAATTTGTGTGGAGATCAAGCCGAGTGGTCCCCAGGAAGAGCCGTATTTTATGTGCAAGGGCACCGATTTCTCACGTGGCGGCGGTCAAGCTCAGCCGGCAGCAGAAGAGCAGCCGCAACCCATCCAAAATTATCCGCAGCCAGAGGCACAGCCGATGCCCATGAATGGCCAATATGCTCAGGCGCCGTTTCCATCGTTTCCCAGCTTTGGCGCTGGGTTTTTTCCGATCATGTCCAACTATGAAGAAGCAACGCCCAAGGCTACGCCAACGTCGTCATATCAGAATCAGTCGCCAGCTGGTGAATCCCACGCCGCCGCACACTTTGGAACCGCTCCTGCTACCTTTGCAGCTGGGCCTGCTCCGCAATCATATGGCATGCCAGCAGTTTCTTACTCAGCTGCAGGCGGCGCAGCAGCAGCTGCACGCGGAACTGCAGCAGGCTCAGGCCCAGCGACCACGCCCAATTCATATGCTGCTGCAGCGCCTACGAAATCGCCGCCAGCTGCACAAGCAGCGCCTCAACCAAAATCGCAGCCTGCGAGCAGCCAAGCGAGCAATGGCAATCCCTATGATGCGTTAGTGAGCAGTCAACGTCATCGTACCGCCATGGATCAGGATGTGCTGAACGTGCCTGATGTGGGCTTTCGGCAGGAGGAGCTCAATTTGCAGTACAGACTACCCGAGCCCATGGTGGGCGCTGCTCCGCCCATGATGTGGATGCCACTGGCGCAAACACAGCTGCAGCAGCCGACAGCAGCAGCTCAGCTGCCTCCATATTACGATGATCCGGTGATGCGCACCTTCTATGCCAGCCTGGAGCCCAATGAGCCACAAGTGGCTCAGGCGGTGCCCATGCAGCAGGCAGCTCCCATGGAGCCGCTAGTGGCTCAAGTGGCGCCACCATCCCGACCAGCTTCGGGCTATATGCCCATGTATGGACAGACAGCACCAGCTGCTGCAGCAGCACCGCCTACTCCGCCGCCAAGTCAGCCCGCTTACGATGCCAATCCGAAGTCCAGTTCGGGTCAGGGCTACGCGCCAGCGCCAGGCTCACCTGTGGATGGCAATGCCTGCAACTCTTGTACTCGTCCCTGCTCTGCGCCCTTGGAGTCCACTTCGAACTACAATACACCCGCCCATTGTCCAAGCTTTCAGCCCGTAATTATAGCAATGCCCTGCTATGGACAGCAACAGCCTACACATTACTTGGCTGTGCCTGGCTCAGGGGCATCGTCGCCGCCAGCGCTGGCACGTGAGTCCATGGTGGGCAGTTCTTTTGGAGGACCATTTAGCCTGGCTGCACAAATGGGTTCACCCTTTGGCAATCACTTTGGCATGACATCGCCTCAGGTGGGTTCGGCCTTTGGAATGGGACCGCAGGCTGGCTCGGCTTATGGCATGTCAGCTCCTCAGCTTGGCTCAAACTTTGGCATGGCTCCACAAGTGGGTGCTCCTTTTGGCTTGGCGCCGGTGCTGAATCCCTTTGGACCCTTCGGCAGTCTGAATCCATTTAATCCTTTTAATAGAATACTGGGCGCTGCCGCACCAACGACCCAACAGCCCAGGCTGCGTCTGTTCGGCGCACCCGAGGAGAGCACAACAGCCACATTACAGGCAGCTCCACAATATCAACAAGCGCCGCCCAAGACCTTCACCCTGAACTTTTCCAGCAGCACATTAGCACCAGCTTCCAAAGTTAGCTCGGAACCAGCTGCGGCAGTCGTTGGCATCGCCCGTGATCCGGACGACGGCCAAAAGGAAGATGACGACGATGACCAAGATGATGACGAGGATGGATCACACGAAGTCACTGATGCGCCGCACACGGCTGGCACAACTGAAGACGTTGCTTCTACTCTAGACGCCGAAGTCTCCAAATCTCTGGAGTCCAAGGATCTGACGGTCGAGCAGCTACTCAAAAAGGGGGAGGATAAACTGAAAAACGAAAACAAGCGCAAGCGCCACAATTCACGCAACAGCAACAGTAATTCCCAAAAGCGCAAATATCTGCAGCGCTTGTAGATCTTAACTAGATAAGTTTTTGCTCTATGAATGAACTAACTATCAATAAAACTAATTAGTTGTTTACTAAAGAAAAGAAAACTGTGCATTTTCGGACCTGGAGTGGGCAAAATAACCGCTCGGTCCGGTTCTTATTTCATATATTGATCAATTTCAGATACTTTTTTAAATATTTGCTTTGAATGTGTTTGCTGCTCTTATTGAAATCTGCCTTTTGATTGTCTTTGAATTAACATTTGATTTGACTGGATTTAGATAGATAAAGAACGACCCGAGTCATCGGACTCATCAATATGGTTGTTGGATGGACCATTAGATATACCAAAGGGTATTCCAATTTCTGCATCCAAGACTTTGTCTTATGCATTTGATATTCGACTTAACTTAGGTTCTGTACGACTTGATATAAGATATAAATGCTTTGCCTAAAATGCCTCAAGAATATCAAGCTATCTTTGTTTTCAAGCAATTGTTGGGCTCTATAGATTGAAAGCTAGCCTTAACTATGAATTTATGGCAGATGAGAAAATAATTATTAAATTTACTGCATGCTGTTGGCTTCAAATGTTTAATACATAGATTTCTTCAATTAGCAGGGCATTCAATTTATTCAGTCTGTACGACTCATATAGTTTTTTCTTACCCTTTACCCATTAAAATTGTGTAAATGGGGCATATTGGCCCAGTGCATGGGCATGCAACAGACAGCGAAAACCGTTCCCAAAACTATTAGATTTATGCATATTTGATATGCATGAAAATTAGATGCAATTTTTTCTATTGTTTGTCTGGATAGCTCTTACTCCGAATTTGAGGCTTCTAGACATATTAGACTCTTCTATGCCCAGCTGGAGACTTCTCTTATGTTAGACTGTCTCCCTATCAGAGATCATTAGAGCTAGAGGCTTAAAATTTTGAGTCAAAACCGTCTCATTGCTAATACAAAATAATGAAAAGTCAAGGTTCTCTTTTAAGTAGCCACCTCGTATATACTTCAATCAGCTACAGGGTGTTTTCTAGTTGGGCAATTGCTTGCGTCTTTGTGCTCAATCGGACTCTGCCAACTCCATGGCATATTTGACGCCCAGTTTATTAGCGATGAATAAGCCAATGGCCACTTAAGGAAGTGTTTTATATAAATACTTGTGTACATATTCAGTTTCTTTATATACATATATATATATATTTTTTTGTACACATTTTCCTTGATGTACTTCCGTTTATTTTTTTTTTGTTTCCCACTGGCGCACACGTCTTTATGGCAGCTACGCTTCACGGATCAAACAGGAACCTATTTACTCGATACGTACAGCTCGGTTTGGCTCAGCTCTTCGCTGCAATCTGCTGATTGGTCATGTTGGGCACGTAACACAATTTAAATAAATGAAAACAAAACTGAAGATAAATAACATAAAGCAATTTAGGCGTAGAGTCAATGTACTCGGCCAATTGTCCAAGCACTCTGATTGAGTAAGCGCTGGCCAGAATGGGCGCAGCTGTTTGCGATTGGATTTCTATTAACCGGGTTAGAACACTCGCTTGCGAAATCCAAGACAAAGCCAAAGCTACTTCATAAAATAATTAAAGAATTGCCGTTCAAGGTAGATACTGTTATGCTCTTTGATCTGCATAAGATTTAATCAATTAAATTTTATGACAATTTTTTGTTAAAATAATCAACAGAGCTATAATACATTTATTTTATTAATGTGTCTATTCTTTAAAAAAAATCATGCTTATATTTATTTCTTAAGTATAAATGTATTTACTAGAATAATCTAGTTGAGCCTTAAAAACAGGTTAGTGAAATGGATGAGCTTAGTTAGAAAGATTGATTTTTGGGGATTTTCTGGAAGCCTGCCTTGCTTTCCATCTGCCGAAGAAATTATGTGGTATGCTGTGACAAATGGTCTTAGTAGGAATATACTCTTATAGTGTTAGCTAAACTATGTGCTAGCTGGTTAAAATTCTCCTGGAGTACTTTAATTGACCCCGAGCAAAGCATATTCAGAGCTTGGTTGGCCTACTTCCGTGCGTATCGAACATTGTGGCCAAATGAGAGTGCATTAAACTGGCAGGGTATTTAAGTGCAAGGCTTGCAGTTTTTTAGGCAACTTTGGACAGTGATTGCTCGATGCAATTGGAGCTCGTCGAATAGTTGCAATTGAGTATTCGCGACGCGAGGTTAAAGTTACAAACGTCAACGCAAAATGCACAATTCCTGGAGCTGCTTGATGGCGGCATTGCTCTGCGTCTGCATCGCATGGCAGGCTGGATGCACGCAGGCACGGCAGCCTGATGGCATGGTGGGCATGTCCAATAGCATTGCAGCACCTGGACAGCCATTGTATTATCTTATGGCCGATGCCGGTTCGACGGTGGGTCCCAATGATGAGCTCAAGCGCACGAATCGTTCGCTTATGAAGTGGTGGGAGGATTTGTTTGGGCCGAGCAATTGCTGCAACAACAACAATTTGCTTAACAACAACAACAATTTTCCTAACAACAACAACTACAACAACAATTGGCTGTACAACAATAACTTGGCGCCAGCCATTCCAGCCATCAACAACAATAACTGCAATGGATTGCAACTGCAGTCTTTGGATCCCTTCAAGCAAATGAAGCTGTTCAAGAAGCTGCCCGATCTGTGGGGCAATAACTTTGCGGGTCCTTGTGCTGGCCAGTGCGGTGGTGGTGTTCAGCTGCTGCCGCAACCGGTCAACAACTATGCGGCACCACCAAGTCCCGGTCCAGGCTATGGCGGTGAAGGCTACGCACCACCGCAGCCTCAACCAGCCGTGCCAACGGCTCCGGTCGACTACAATCCGGCGCCGGCGCCGCCTAGCAGCGGCTATGAGACACCAAATCCCAGCTACGACGGTCCCGGCGATGGAGATGCCGGCTATGTAGAACCTACAGCACCGCCATCCGTAGACTATGAGGCGCCAGCGCCTGCACCGCCTGCCGCCAGCTATGAAACACCAGACACGCCCGAACCCACCTATGATACTGTTCCGTCACCCGCGCCCGAGAGCTACAGCAAAGTGGAGGAATATGCGCAGCCGGCCAAGAGCTATACACAGCCACCGCAAATTGTCTATCAGCCCATCATTTATCTGTCAGCCGCGCCCGCCGTCAGGCAGGAGCTGGAGACCAAGCTGAAGCAGCCGGAACAAAGCTATGAGACCCAGACTGAGGCACCAGCACCGCCGACTTATGAGCCACCAGCTCCGGAACCAGCACCAGCACCAATTGAATTGCCTGCATATGCCGCGCCCCCAGCGACAGCTCCAGCTGCACCTTGTAATGTGCCCGCTTGTGCGGGCTATTTGCCCCTTTTGGGCGTGCCCTTCTACAGCTATCCCACGGCTCAAGCACCAGCCCCGGCACAAGTCTATGCGGCACCACCAGCCCCGGCACCAGTCTATGCAGCACCACCGGCACCCCAGCCGGCGCCGGTCTATGCAGCACCGCCGGCCGCACCACCAGCGCCAACCTATGCCTCATCCTCTTGCCGGACACCCATTAGATTGTCGTTAATTGATCAACCCTATCGCGTGGCCCCCGAACTCTTCCAGGAGTATAACTATCGCTTGGCCCTGGCCGAACAGAATAGATTATAGTAGATGGAAATCCAATGATCTTTAAGACTAAACTGTAAATAAAATGTATCTAATTTGGGCTGTCAGCTTTTTAATTACCAAGGGATTACTACTTTATTCAATGGAATATCTAAAGATATTCAAGATAAAAGAAACGTGGAGAATATGTGAGAAGTTATGGATATGAATGGGGTATGATATTATTTAGATTTTGCTCATATATCAGGAGCATATCAAAAATAGAAATCTATGTTTGGTTTCATTTTTTTTAAACACAATGTGCAATCGTTCAAAGAAGCCATATCCAATAAATAAAGGTATATATTCCTGAGCAGTATCAACAGCCGAGTCAATATATTTTTGCCCGTCTGTTTATTTCCTCTCAGTCTGAAGTGGAGCAAGCTCATATGTCTGGATCGGCTGGATCGAACTATGAAACAGTTTCTTTTTTAAGATACTTTGACCAAACCCAGCATTAATCAGATTTCCTGTTTTTCTATATATGTGCAATACTTTATCTATACCGAAGTATTATATCATATAACTGCCATAGGAATAATCGGTCGAAGATAAGCGGATTTATTTCTTAAGATATCTCAACTTTATTAAATTGGCGAATAACGAGTCCTTCCATGCTGCTTAGCAACATGGGACTACTTACTATATAATATAGCTCTATAAAGTATTGGTTCAAGATTAGTTGGGATTAAATTTTATAGATATTTTGCCGAAACTAGCAGTTACGAGCTTCACAAATCTCTCAGAAATCTATCTTTGACCAGAGTAGTTAATCTTCGGCTTGCCGTAGATAGCCGTTCTTTCTTGTTACAACTCTCCTAGCAATATAATCTTTGGTGTTATCTGGTTTATCCTTTCCTTCTTTGTATATATAAATTTGTAATTCTTACCCTACTCAGTTGGGCATATTGATTTAGCTCAGTGTCCCGCCCATTAGTACAGTTGTGTGCAATGATTTCCGTTGTTTAAACAGTAGCTGCTTATCGACAAGAGTAAATACTTTTTGTCTGAGCTGTCAAGGTCCCGGATCCCCATCAACATCATCGGTTCGCCTTTATCGCATATGTGTGCAATGCCGCGGCAAAACACTCTGCCTCTTTCTGTTATTATATCTTTCCATTTGTACATATACACATCTTTATTTATATATATATATGTTCATATGTATGCACACGATGACGTCGGCAAGAATTCGAGATACATATAATCGGCTCAGTCAGTCAGTTGGTCGTTCGTTGGCTGGTCTCCGTTTTCATTTCGTTTTCAAATTCAAATTCCATAACAAATTGCACAAGATAAACAAAGTCTTCCTACTCTATGCGGGCCTATCGGGGCTATGAAATGCGATAACACTTACCCCGCAACCCGCCGGGGCCGTTGACCATGACCGTGACCAAGTGAAAGTTGCCTGCAGTTGGCAACCGGAGCCGGAGCCGGAGGGAGGCCTGCACTCAGCTGGTCATCATCATCAGCTCTTTGTTCAACATTGTCTCACTTTGCATGTGGCACGCACTTCTGCTTAGACTCCGCCTCGTACTCGAAGACTGGGTCTGGCTGGCTCTTGGTCGGGGCGTTGATCGTCTGTTGATGGCCCATGTCTCAGATGCGTCTGTGCAGAGCGTGACGTAGTTTACATAATCTAATCGCCTGTTGAGTGAGCGGAAAATATGGTTAGCAAATTAGTGGTTGCTCTGGAGTGAAGATCTGCTGATCTTCCAGTTGAATCGTTGCGTAACAAACACATGAACACGCTTCAGACGGTGCTATCTGAAACGATAAGTGTCTCTGTCAAAGATCAAGTGAGATTTGCTGTTGGCGAAGCTGTGGTTTATCTCCTCACTTTGATTGCAACGTGCGATGTCAGCACTGATCAAACGATATCTTGAGATCGTTTCAATTGATTTTTATAAAAAGAGTAGAAGAGTTATAAACAGGCAGAACAACGCCTCCTTCTTCCGCCCCACAAAATGCATATATATATATTCTTGGTCAGCATTAATAGAGAAGTCGATTTACCCTTGGTCTCTACCAGGCCGAACGTCTGTCTGTCCGAGTACGTAAATGCGACGATCTCAGAGACTATGCCAGCTAAAGAATTGACATTTATTAATGTAAGTCAAGATCAAGAGTATTTCAAATGATTTATAGCTCGCCCAGTCTCAAAGATACCAATAAAAATCGTTTCTTATAAGACGTTTTTTTTCAGCATTTCTTGGAGTTTATATTATCCACAAAAATCAAATTTAGAATGCAGCTTCTCGTAGAATATTAATAATAAAAATGATTATTTCAAGACGTAATGCCTTGGGCTTTGGTATTTACGTACTTTTTTGTGCCATATTTAAGCCCTCAAAATTTCATTAAGATCGCACAATTAATACTGAAGTTAATCAAGAATGCATTGCCCAGACTTAGTGTCAGGGAAGAGTGTTCACGGGTTTTCCTAGTTATGTACTTCCGACTAGAGCACGCTTACTTGTTTGCTCCCTTTTATCAAAGTTAGAAGATATTGACTTTTCTCATTGTTACTTCTCATTGTCAATTGTGATTGGCGTTCGCGGGGAAATCAATCTAAATAGCGTCAGCTATTAAGATTGTCTACACTACAAATTATTCATATCAGTTAATTTACTGCCTGAAAAGTTACATTAGTCATACTAAACAATAAGCTCTCCAATATTTACAATAACAGTTATTGCTAATTGACAATCAATCAATCATTGGGCTATAATCGAAAGTTGTCAAGATGAAAGAATTCATTCCACTGTCTGTTGTCTTTAAATATGTATACATATACTTATAGGTAAAATTAATTGAACTATTTAATAGTATAATAATAATAATATTAATTATTCCCTAAGCTTTAATAAACAAACGATCATAGCGGAATTCAAGTTGACTGATAAACATACAAAACTTCTGACTTCTTACGATACTTGAATTTAAAATCTTGGTATTCAATTTGTTAAGATATATAATAATAATATTAATAATATTAAATTTGTTAACATTTAGAATTTTTGCCGCTTATAGATTCTAGCAATACTATTTTTTAAGTAATAATATATTCATATTATTTTTAAAAATTATTAACAATATTAGGTAGTCTTTGCTTCGGTAGCTGTTTGAACGAAAGCAATATTTTTATACCCTGAACCCATTAAAAATGGGTATAAGGGTATATTGTATTTGTGCGAAAGTTATAATATAAATATTTTTAGTCGAAATTCATGACCAAATCTTACCCCAAGATTCGTATATAGACATGGGTCAAAAATTACCACCCCATAACTCGGTCAAATCTCATCCGATTTTCATGAAGTTTGGATTTTTCTTCATGGTTTTCCCTCTAGTTCAATCTGGCATTCAAATCTGAACACCTATTTTTTAGTCGAAATTCATGTCCAAATCTTACCCCAAGATTCGTATCTAGACATGGGTCAAAAATTACCACCCCATAACTCGGTCAAATCTCATCCGATTTTCATGAAGTTTGGATTTTTCTTCATGGTTTTCCCTTTAGATTAATCTGGCATTTAAATATGAACATCGATTTTTTAGTCGAAATTCATGTCCAAATCTTACCCCAAGATTCGTATCTAGACATGGTTGAAAAATTACCACCCCCATATCTCGGCCAAATCTCATCCGATTTTCTCGAAGTTTGAATTTTTCTTCATGGTTTTCCCTCTATATTAATCTGGCATTCCAATATGAACATCGATTTTTTAGTCGAAATTCATGTCCAAATCTTACCCCAAGATTCGTATATAGACATGGGTCAAAATTTACCACCCCCATATCTCGGCCAAATGTCATCCGATTTTCACGAAGTTTGGATTTTTCTTCATGGTTTTCCCTCTAGTTCAATCTGGCATTCAAATATGAACATCGATTTTTTAGTCGAAAGTCATGTCCAAATCTTACCCCAAGATTCGTATCTAGACATGGTTGAAAAATTACCACCCCCATATCTCGGCCAAATCTCATCCGATTTTCTCGAAGTTTGAATTTTTCTTCATGGTTTTCCCTCTATATTAATCTGGCATTCCAATATGAACATCGATTTTTTAGTCGAAATTCATGTCCAAATCTTACCCGAAGATTCGTATATAGACATTGGTCAAAATTTACCACCCCCATATCACGGCCAAATCTCATCCGATTTTCTCGAAGTTTGGATTTTTCTTCATGGTTTTCCCTCTATATTAATCTGGCATTCAAATATGAACATCGATTTTTTAGTCGAAATTCATGTCCAAATCTTACCCCAAGATTCGTATCTAGACATGGGTCAAAAATTATCACCCCCATAACTCGGTTAAATCTCATCCGATTTTCACAAAGTTTGGCTTTTTCTTCATGGGTTTCCCTCTAGATTAATCTGGCATTCAAATATGAACAGCGATTTTTTAGTCGAAATTCATGTCCAATTCTTACCCCAAGATTCGTATATGGACATGGGTCAAAATTTACCACCCCCATATCTCGGCCAAATCTCATCAGATTTTCACGAAGTTTGGATTTTTCTTCACGGTTTTCACTCTAGTTTAATCTGGCATTTAAATATGAACATCGATTTTTTCGTCGAAATTCATGTCCAAATCTTACCCCAAGATCGTATATGGACATGGGTCAAAATTTACCACCCCCATATCTCGGCCAAATCTCATCCGATTTTCTCGAAGTTTGGATTTTTCTTCATGGTTTTCCCTCTATATTAATCTGGCATTCCAATATGAACATCGATTTTTTAGTCGAAATTCATGTCCAAATCTTACCCCAAGATTCGTATCTAGAAATGGGTCAAAATTTACCATCCCCATATCTCGGCCAAATCTCATCCGATTTTCATGAAGTTTGGATTTTTCTTCATGGTTTACCCTCTAGATTAATCTGGCATTTAAATATGAACATCGATTTTTTAGTCGAAATTCATGTCCAAATCTTACCCGAAGATTCGTATATAGACATTGGTCAAAATTTACCACCCCCATATCTCG